TTAGTTCAGTTAACTCTTTGAGTCCAGGGATTAAGCATCAGAGGCCCAAGGGGTAGTCTAGAGAGACGTAAAAATCAGCACATCTTGCGTTCACCTGGCTTATGGGTAGGAAACCTATATACGTTTGATGCGTTCCTGGGGACTCAAGAGTTTAAGATCATATTAAAATAATAAATATTGTTATTAATACATTTAAATTCTATGAATTTCTTTTTTCTGTGTGTTCCACAATTCCAAAATTAGAACAGTCCACAGCTTATGAGCAAAAATCTTTCAGTTACAGAGTTGTTCGTGTGTGTGTACATATAAGGCTGGTTAAGGAAGGGGGAGACTAACATTCGGTTGTGGTTGGATATCTGGTATGTGGTTATGTTGTTATTGTTCGAATTGAGTTATGGTTAGATATTTTGAATGCAGATGTGTAATTGTTCACACTGAGTTATGGTAATTTATTTTGTGTGTAATTTTTGTGTAATTGTTCATTTTTGTTTTTAATTGTTGGAGGAAGTTTTGGATGAAATTGTTCACTTTTGGGGTGTAAGAATGAGTAGTAGTTTTTATGAAGGGTCTTTACAGTTAACACATGATTTTATTGGATTTCTAAATCTGTAAATATGTGGCAAGCATCTTATGTCCAGTAGGTTTTGAGCCTGAGAATGGTCATTTGTTCAATTTATTTTTATGTATTATTTTATGTTTTGTGTGTGTGTGTGTGTGTGTGTGTGTGTGTGTGTGTATATATATATATATATATATATATATATATATATATATATATATCTTCTTCTTCTGCCTTTGTATCCCCCAATGGAGCATAGGCCCTCAACCAACTCACGCCAAGTTGTTCTATCCTTCGCCATTACATGGAGCTCTCCCCATGTCCTCCCAATCTTTCTAACCTCATTCTCCAGCTCTCTTCTCCATGTGTTTTTTGGCCTTCCTTTATTCCTATGCCCCTGTGGGTTCCAATGCAAAGACATTCTAGTTATGCTGTTCTCCTGTTTTCTCAGTGTGTGCCCTATCCAACGCCAGCGTCTTTTCCTCACCTCCTGATCCACTGGAGCCTCCTGTTTAGTTCTCTCCCAAAGTTCTACATTAGTTATTCTATCATACCATTTTATTCCCTCTATTCTGCGCAGGCACCAGTTAATGAATGTCTGTAATTTATTAGTAATTGCCTTCGTTGTTCTCCATGTTTCCGCCCCATACAATAGTACTGATTTGACATTAGAATTAAAAATTTTTAGTTTAGTATTTCTTTTAATTTCTTTTGACCTCCACAAATTCCCTAGTGCTATGAAAGCCCCTCTTGCCTTTTGTATTCTTATTTTAATATCTCTATCAGTTCCTCCATCTTTATCTACATTACTGCCCAAATAGGTGTACGACTCCACGTCTTGGAGTGGGGTGCCATTAAGAGAAACCACATTACTATTTGCCTGATTTATTCTCATTATCTTTGTCTTTCCTTTATGGATTTTCAGACCAAGCTGCTGTGATCTCGCATTAAGTATATTTAATTTATCTTGTATCTGATTCCGTGAATGGGACAGAAGGGCAATATCATCAGCGAAGTCCAGATCATCAAGCTGTTTTGTAGGGGTCCACTGAATTCCATTCTTGGTGTTAGCAGTTACTGTTTTCATAGTCCAGTCTATAGCCAGTAAAAATAGGAGAGGCGACAAAAGACATCCCTGTCGCACACCTGTTTTTATTTCAAATGCATCTGTTAGCTTTCCCTCATGAAGAACTCGACATTTCATGTCTTTATATGTTGCCTTTACTAAGTTGATAATTTTCTGTGGGATTCCATAGTGCCCCATCAATTTCCAGAGAGATTCCCTATCAATGCTGTCAAATGCTTTTTCATAGTCTATAAATCCAATGTAAAGTGGTGAGTTCAGTTCAATGCTTTGCTCTATTATAATACGTAATGTGGCTATCTGATCAGTACAGGATCTGTTGGACCGAAAACCCGCCTGCTCATCTCTTAGCATTTTATCAATAGCATCTTTTAATCTTTCCAAAATAATTCTACTTAATATTTTTCCAGGAACTGACAGCAACATAATTCCTCTATAGTTTTCACACTCCTGTAGATCACCTTTTTTGGGCAGTTTCACAAGATATCCTTCCCTCCAGTCTGCTGGTATTTCTTCGGTCTCCCAGACTTTACTGAATAATCTATGTAGCAATTCTGTTGATGTGTTTATGTTGGTCCTGATGGCTTCAGCTGGGATACCATCTGGGCCTGACGCCTTTCCTTCCTTAAGAAGATTTATAGCTTTTCTAATTTCCTCTTTGGATGGTATCTCACAGTTGATATTCAGTTCCATTTCTAAAGGCTGGATATCTGGGGGAACCTCTGGGCCTGGTCTATTTAGAAGCATTTCAAAATATTCAACCCATCTGTCCATTTGATCTTTAGTGTTAGTAAGTACCTTTCCTTGACTATTTTTGATTGATCCAGTTGGCTGACTATATTTACCTACTAATTTTCTTGTGTTGCTGTAAAGTTCTCTGAGGTTACCTTTTGCTGCTGCTGTCTCCGCTTCTTGTGCTAGATCATTTAGATATTTCACTTTATCTGCCCTTATATGCCTCCTAACTTCCTTGTTGGCTTCTGTGTAATTCTCCTGAGCTCTAGCTTTAGCAGCTCTAGTTTTGCTATTGTTTAATTCTGCCTTTTTACTTTTCCTGTCTTCAATCAATTTAATGGTTTCTGGTGTTATCCATGCTTTATGTTTTCTTTCTTTCTTGCCAAGAACTTCTACGCAAGATTCATTCCAGATTCCTTTGATCTGATCCCAGCAGACTTCTGTGTTGACATCTTCAGCTAATTGCTGCAACACCTGGTACTTATTAGAGACCGTGACTGAGAACTGTTCCTTAATTTCTTTATCTCTGAGAAAGCCTACATTATATTGGTTTCTATGATTATAAGATGTTATATATCTTTTTAGTTTCAACTTGATTTTACTTATCACCAGGAAATGGTCAGTAAATACATCGGCACCTCTGAAAGCCCTAACATCGTAAAGGAATGATCTAAACTTTTTGTTAATACATATGTGGTCAATTTGATTAGTTGTCTTATGGTCTGGTGATTCCCATGTTGCCTTGTGTATTCTTTTATGGGGAAAAATACTTCCACCAATAACATACTGGTTACCTGCACAAAAATTTGTGAACAATTCTCCATTTTCATTCATTTCTCCTAGACCATGTCTCCCCATAATTTCTTCATAACCTGTGTTGTCTGATCCTATCTTAGCATTCAAGTCACCCATCAAAATTTTTAAGTTGCCCTTTCTTTCATTATTTATAATATTCTGAAGCTGCATGTAAAATTCTTCCTTAACAGATGCATCTTTATCATTTGTTGGTGCATAACACTGTATTACCGACATGTTCACCTTCTGTTTTACTGTTCTAAAAGATGCTCTTATTATTCTGGGACTCACAGCTTCCCATTCTATTAGTGCTCTGTCTGCTTCTTTTGATAGCATCAGGGCCACTCCTTCACTGTGCGGCGAATTTTCCTCTGTGTGTCCTGAGAACAAAATAGTTTCTCCTGAATTGAGAATACTTTTCCCTGTCCCAGTCCATCTAGTTTCACATAACCCCAAAATACTAATTCTATAATGTTTCATTTCCTTTGCTACTTCCATTGTTCTCCCTATATCATAGAGAGTTCTAACATTCCAGGTGCCAATTCTGGAGGTTTTCCTAGCTGAGAGGAGGTAAGTCAACGATCCGGACTCCTTACGGCTTTCTCCACACCGTGTCATACTTCTTCTATTTGAAGAGCCTCCCCTCATCTTGGTTGGCTGGAGTTTATTTGCTTCTCTTTTTGACTTATCCATGGTTGGTTGGTTTTTGTGGCTATGGTTTTTACAGGATGAGGTAGCCAACCTCACGCCCAACCCTACCCTTAGTCGCCTTTTACGACATGCCTGGTAGGGTGCAGTGTCACTATTCTTTGCTTCCCGTGAGGGCCCCGGTGACACACGGGCGCCTTATATTTATATATATATATATATTTATATATATATATATATATATATATATATATATATATATATATATATATATATGGCAAGCTTTACTGGAAAGGTCACGGGCAGTGAGCATATTTTGGATCTTTTCTCCAGGCTATGCCAACGTGGTGGGTAATGAACAGACAGACAGATTGGTTGAATCTGCACCATTGGGTGATGAATTGATACATTACAAGGCAGATGTGGTCAATGCCCTTTAGGAACAAGCAACAGAATCAGTAGAGATAGAAGATAATTATGGCCTAGAGATAATGAGGCATCTTGGTGTAACCAGAGGGTCTGGCCAGCTCACTACACTCAGAGGGAAGGCAAGACGGACATATAACCAGATTGTTACCGGTACACAGTATTGGAACTCTACGCTGGCTGCAGAAGATGAGGACGAAGCATGCATGGGAATGCCCCGAGTGCTGTGATGTCAGTTCTTGACTCAACTCAATATTTACATATTCTCATTCTCCAGTCTTTGTCTACAGTGCTTCCTAAATAGGTGTATAGGAGTATAATTCAATCTCTCGAAGTGAGCTTAACCCAAGAGAACTTTTATTTATCATTTGCTTGATTGTGACTTATTTAAAAAACCCATATTATTTCCAAAATTTGGAGTAGATCTAAATTAAATTACTTGAATCATTCTGTGAACCAGTTCACGTAAATAATACAGGGAACCAAATCACTTGAAATTAATTAATTATGTGAATCAAATCTTGGAAAATTAAACAATTCCATGAATCAAATCACTTAAAATGTAATAATTCGATGAATCAAGTCTTGGAAAATTGAACAATTTCATGAATCAGATCACTTGAAATTTAATAATTCTGTGAATCAACTCTTGGAGAACTGAAAAATTGCATGAATCAGATCACTTGAAATTTCATAATTCAATGAATCAAATCATTCAAATAATTTCTTGTTATATTTATCATTTCAGGTTAGATCTCAATCCAGCCAACATTTGTCTTTCAGTTCAGATGATTACCAGCTGCTCAGTACTGGCTTTCCTTTAAGCCCAAATGGCATAGTGCAGCCATCAATAGGACCACCTCGGGTGAAGAAGGCCATGGATGAAGACACTAAAGTATCCTATAGTTCTGACTACCACCTGCCCGCTTCCTCGACGTTGTCCTCCTCACTCTGCCCTTCCCCAACACCTTCGATGATGAGTTTAGGCAAGACTTCTCCACTGAATGCACTTCCACCAAAGGTATATTTGTCACTTTTATGTCTTGGCTGTTAAGTAAAGAACCTTGTTCCATGCCTTCAGGTATATTGGACATATAGGGCTAGACCTATATTTTATAGACCAATCAGCACTTGGTGGGTGATGTGGTCAGCATCACGCTGGCCACCTTTTTTTCCCCAGGACTGTACCTAGTACCCAATCAAGGTTGGGTCAACCTGAGAGCCAGGTTCATTTTTTTGTTTATGTCTATCTCCGTCAAAACCCAGACCCATGACCTTCTGATCCCCAGGCAGGGTCTAGCCACTTCATCCATCATGATGACTCTTCTCTTCTTGGCTTTAGCAGAGGAATAAAGTCACGGGTATTGATTGGCACATTTTCCTGTGTGGGCTCCAGGGTCCCAGTGTGTGTGTGGGGGGGGGGGGGGGGGGTGGATAGACCCACTTTCTCCCTAGCAAACATGTCTTAAGAATGGACTAATTAGGGGGTTCCTTCAAAGTTGGAGTGCATCTTGTTGAGAGGGAAGGATGGAACAGCCTGCATACAGATAAACCAGACCTGTAAAACGTATGTGCTGGCAAAACTCAAGTTCTCGAGCACAACTATAGTTCAGAATGGATGAACAACCAGGACTTTCCACTGGAAGTTACAGCCAATAAATGTGAAGAAGAAGATTTGCACTTCTTGTGAGATAGCTTGCTGGCAGTCCAAAGGTCTTGGGTTCAAATCCACATTGAGTTGGATTTTTTAATACAGTGTCTTTAGCTCCCAGGTTGACTCAGCGTAAAATGGGTACCAGGAAATGTCCTTGGAAGTAAAGGTGGCATAATCAGTAAGTAAAGTCATTTTACACACCAGAGTTGCATCAAGCATATGAGGCTGCCTTTACTTCCCAGGACTTTACCTGGTACCCAGTTAAGGCCGGCTCACTTTGGAAGCCAAGATCTAATCCAGCTCCATGCAGATTTGAACACACAACCTTCAGATCCACAGGTGAGCATCAAGCCACAACAGCTCCCAGTCCTGACATACTGATGTTCAAAATTAACCCCAGGTGGTTTGGTAGCAGATCTCTTTATGTTGGCTTTGACAGTGATAAGATCAGTGTACTGTTCAGATGGCAAAGGCATGCTACTTCTGAATGTAAAATTGCCTAGAAAAACCAAACAGCCAGTAAATGCTTGGACTGGATTCTGAAGGTCTGTAGAGCAGTGTTCTTCAACCTTTCTACACACTTGGACCAGGAAAAAAAAAGGATTAATAGTTCCCAGACATGTTGACACCTAAGACAGAAGCTACAACTGCACACACAAAACTGCCATGGCTGCCTTATTTATCACTTTTGCACTGTAGGCAGGACTGGTCTTTGAGCCTGAGTATTAAGGGCTGCATAACTAGTGTTGTTGCCACAGACCGTTAAGGTTATAATTTTAGTTTTTGCCTCTGACAGGAAAAAAATCCCGCTCCTTCCAGGGATTCAAACCTGGGTCTCCCGCATGAGAGCCAAGCATTCTTAACCTTTTCAGCCAGCATCAACAAATGTAATAACATTGAATGTATTAAATCTAAGGTTATAACATTTGAATTTTTAACCAGTGCAACATCTGCTGCTTACAGTTTTGAAAATTTGATATAGGTGGGTGGAGCTTTGTTTCTAAAAGATGAAGCCCTGCTTTAACATTCATTTGAATTCAACCTTCGGTTTCCACTGTAAATATTATAGGATAAGGCAGATAATTTTGGCATGGACCAGTGCCAGTCCCTAGATCACAGTTTGAAGAACATGACTGTAAAAGATGTGCAGCAGCTTTAACTTATTCTCTTTTTTTTTTTTCCAGTCACCGCTGAACTACTTGCAGCCTTTGCATGTGAACACAGGACCATCATCACCGTCAGTTATCTCTCCAGCTATTCCCGACATGAACTCCACCACCAGCTCATGGGCTGACAGTAATGTTCCAAGCCCTTTCGTCTTCAGTGCAGCCTCCACGTCTAGCAACAGCAACAACCAGAAGACTGTGTTTCTGGATCGTAATCAACCTATCAGTAGTTTTGCTGGAACTTTCCCGAACCCTGAAGCCCCTTTATCGGAAGTTGGTCTAGCCAGTCTTCAGCTTCAGTCATTTGGAAGTAAAATGTTGAACAGTTCTTTAACTGGAGATAATAATAACAATAACAATGAAAATATTGATGTCAATAGAAACTTCAGTGATCAGAGAGACTCTTCAGGATATACTTTAAGGACCTCGTCTGTTTCTAGTCACAAAGGTTACGCTCACATGCCACCATTATCCCAGAGTTCAGTAGAGCATAACAACCAGACCTCTGCCATTCTTCAAGAGAGGCTTGGAACACCTCAGCTGCAACAACACCAGCAACAACAACAACAACAAAAGATCCACCCATTCTTCATACAACATCAGAAACAGCATTTCTGCAACAATATGCACCAGCCATTGCGGCTTCCGCAGCATCACTTGAAACAAGGCATACTTAGGAAGTCATTTTTGCCAGAGCAGTTCTTGCATCTGGGTAACGGACTTCAGCTGCCTGGTGTTGTCAGTCACGGCGCAGTTGCGTACAATCCGGCGCTGAATCCATATGCGTTTGTTAACCCAAGGGCACCGATGTTTCCTAACCACCCTTGTCTTAACAGGTTTCCTGGTACGGGGCTGAATGGGGCCATGGGGGTGATGAACTTTGCCCAGCAGCGACCACACTTTGCAGTCCGTGGACACAACTGTAAAACAGGTGAATTATGCACTTCACTGTCATTTTGGTAGATTGTGAGGAGTTTCTTTTCTTCTTCTTCTTATTCTCCTCCTCCTCTCATCTTATTTTTCTTCGCCTCCTCCTCTCATCTTCTTCTTCTTTTTCTTCTTCTTCTTCATCTTTTGTATTTTTCTTCTTCATCTTTCTCTTCTTCTTCTGCTCTTTATCCCCAGTGGAGCATGGTCCCTCAACAAGTTCATGCTGTCCCTTCCTTGATGTCACAGCCTGTTCGCTAAAGCCCTCCCCATCTTTTTTTACCTTACTCCCTGGTTCCTTTCTCTATGTGGGTGTGTGTGTATTTTTATTTTATTTTTTAAAATTATTTTTCATTTGACCCTTTGAATTCCAAGAATTTTAAAATTATTTTGTTTCCTTTTTTAACTTTGTATATTTCTTACATAACCTCTTTCTTTCTTACTTTCTTGTTGTTTTGTCTGAAATTCTAATGTGACTATTTAACATAAATAGGCCAAGTCAGTGAGTAAATTACAAATAATGTCATCGTTTTCCATTGTTGCCATTTAACATCATCAGTCAGTCGATCAGTTGCCGTCAGCTGCAAGGTCAGCTGCAATGGATCTCCAGCACACTCTGTCTTTCCTCCTGGATTACATTCTGTAAATACTGTCTGTCCATTTCTGGGTGTTATCCTCACAGCACTTTATAGGTGGCACTGGATATTGCCTTTGGGTTTAGTGGCATCAATCCATATTCTCATAGGACACCCCCTTGTTTTCGTATCATCTTCTTGGATGTAATGCCTTTTTTTACTAACTGATGTTGCTGCATTGTGACAAGATGCCCAAGCCATGTGATCTTCTTAATAATCTGGCACAGGATGTTGTTCCTACCATCTGTCCTGCAGTATCATTTCCTGTACGGTCTTAGACGGATGATCTAAAGCAGCGGTTCTCAACCTATGAGTCGCGACCCTCACACATGAGTCGCCTAAGACAATCAGAAAACACATATTTACTGAAGCTGTGAAGTAGCAATGAAAATAAGTTTATGGTTGGGGGGGGGGGCACAACACCAGGAACTGTATTAAAGGGTCATGGCATTATAAAAGTTGAGAACCACTGGTCTAAATGATCTCATCTCACCAGTGTTGATCCGAGATGAATTTTTAAATAGTGTTAAAGTTGTGCAGTGCTAGCACAGTACTGGTTTAAATGTGCTGCTTATAATCTCTTGCTTTTTGGGCATAATATATTGATTTCTGAATAATGGTGCCAGATTTAATTTGGGCAAGTTGAAAATGGTTATTAATTGTTCTGCTGAGAAGTAAAAGAGAATATGAAGTCATTCAGTTATATTCATAATCCTCAGTGTCACTGAATTTGTATTCCTGAATTTCTTTGTCACTCAGCTGTATTCATAAATCCCAATATCACTCAGGTTATATAAATAAATTCCCTTGCCACTCAGTTGTATTCATAAATTCCTTTGTCACTCAGTTTTTCTTCTTCAGCATTCCTAGCCCTTCAGGTTCATTGCTGCAGATTTCACCTGCATTCATTCATCTCTATGATTAGTGCTCTCTTATTCTTTAGTGATACAACGTTTTGTAGGTCCGTCTGTATCTTATCTCTCCACCATCTTCTTGATCTGCATCATGGTCTATGACCATTCAGCTCCCTTGTGTAACTGTTTTAACCCCTTCTTTTAATTTGCCCCAGCCATTTAAATTTATTAGCCTTCATGATAAAAGGTAAAGTCGGGAGATGTGAACCAGCGTTACTGCACACGGTTATAAACCATAAGTGCTCTGGCACCAGTACGGACAGCTGATAAGAAACTGTCCGCCTGTTTCACCATCTGCACGCAACTCCATAGCTACAGCGACTTTCACTCATTTACCCCAGAGTGTTAACTCTGGCACCCATTACCTAGAGGCTGGGTGAACCCCGGGAACCGCCTGATTTTGAATACCAGCGAGTGGCAGCTGGATTTGAAAGCAAGTCTCCTATCAACTGTGCTAACGCGGCTTCATGATGTAAGTGATCAGTGGGTTTTTTTTAAACAGGTCATCAATTTAGTTGCTGCTTCTCACTCTCCATTCCCCACGCAATGAATGGGTCCTTGACTTTGTATGCTTTATTACTACCCTCCACTGTGGTTTTTATGTCATGGTGGCCTGGAGAGAGTTGTGATGGAGCAGTTTCCGGGAAACAGGGAAGAGGCTGACCTCTGCGAAGGTGAATACAAGACACTCAAGATGCATTGGCTAGGAAGGCTTAAAGGGCTGGAGTAAGGGAGACATTCAGGCGTGCCAGGAAGAGAGTGATGTTCTGTAAAAGACTTGCTGATTGATCATGATAACATTGTTTTAGGAGCCACTATGGTGTAGCGGCTAGGCGCTCCTCTCTTGCCTAAAAGTTGTAGGATCAAATCTGCATCAAGCCAGGATTTTTTTCAGAAAAGATCTTGACTCACAGGTTGACCCAGCGTAAAATTGGTATAACATAGGGTCTTGGGAAATAAAGGTGGCCGGCATGATATTGGCACATCAGCCACCTAGTGCCTCTTGTAATTTGTTTTTAAAAATAAAAACCATTTTGGCTTGGTACTATGGGTATCGCAACCCTTCAGCCTTGATTCCATGATAGATACAGTAAATCTGGGAAATATGTGGCTTCTCTGCCTAACCCCATTAACTCAAACCACATGGTGTTTGTCACCCGGTCACCGCGTAGCTGGTTTAACCAGCTTAGCTAGCGCGCCGGGTCTTTTGGTCTGTAAAATATAGTAAAAGTAAAGTAAAGGACCATTTTCTATGCCTTCAGGTGTATTAAGCGTTTAGGGCTATACCTAAATCGCATGCACCAGTTGGTACTTGGTCGGTGAAGTGATCAGCAACATGCCGGCTTCTTCTTCTTCTTCTTCACTTCCTCTTTTACCGTTGTGGGTGTCGAGGGAAGTTGCAATCTTGTATTTCGCTTTTCTGTCTCGTAGTCCCTTAACATTGCCATGGTCAGATACCGTTTGATCAGTCCGTTTATATCTCATTTTGATTTCTGTAGCGATAATAAATCCATTGCCGGCTTGCTAGGCCTGTCGCAACTTCACCAGAGCCCCGTTGGCCAGGACGTTTCGGGGTGACCCAGGGTGGCCTTCATGGCTACCGTAGCGGTCCCGTGGCACAAGGCCACACCATACTTCGCCCACACCTAGCAATCCCCTACTTTGTCCTGTTACCACCTCTCACGACGAGGCCGTGGGGTTGGCCTTAGCATGCCGGCGCCCATCTTTATTCCAGGACTTTGCCTGGTACCCATTAAAGGCTTGGTCAACCTGGGAGCCAAGGTAATTTTTATTTTTTTTTTATTTTTAATCCAGCTCTGTGAGGACCCGAACCCACAACCTTCAGATCCGTATGCGAGCATCTAGTCGCTAAACCATGGCAGCCCTCTTATAAAATACAGGATTAGCCCTAACTACCTAATACGGGTAATGTTTTTTAGTTTCACTTTTATAAAATCATATGTAAGTATATTTCATTTTATGTTATGTTTTCTGTTTTTTTTATGTTATGGTTTTTTTTTTCGGGACCAGGACTTGGCTCTGGTAACAACTTAAGTCACATGGCCCATGTGCCAAATGAGGCTGAGATAAACGAGTCGGTAAAAACAGCATCAGACAAGCAACGGATGATTGAGGAAATGTTGCTGCGAGATCCCCGGACTCAGGCTGTCTACCAGCAGATTCTGCAACAGGCCATGCTTCAGACCTCTACAGGTCAGTGACTTTCTTCCAGTTTAGCTTTTGCCCTTAAAAGGGTAGTGGCACTGTCCAGTCCTTCCCAGCTTTTTTTTATTTTTTTTGAAGCCCCACCCCCATTGCCTGGGGCCCTGATACTTGGTACAGGGTTTTGTACCTCCCAGTGCTAATCTTGTGGCTGACCGGGTGTTTTCTCTGTGTGATGTACTGGTGGAGTAAAAATTACTTACATTGTGTTGTGGTTTAAAGATAGGCTGCAATATCTACACCTTTTGGCACAATACATCCAATTTCACAAAACCTTAACTCTTGCAGCCCCAAGGTATTTAGCATCAAAGGCCCAAGGTTTAGTAAAGAGAGCTTTAAGATCTGAGCATATTGTGTCACTTGGACTTTTGGGTAGGAACCTATGAATGTGTGATGCTTTCCTTGGGACTGAAAGAGTTCATTAGTCGCCTTCTAGGACATGCTTGTTAAGGAGCAGTGAGGCTGGTATTCTTCTGTTAACTACTTTTGTCTTGGTCATTTTGTTAAACAGATCAACTTCTGTCTGTACCTCTAAATCCTCTTCCTTTCATTGTTGATATCTGAAGTATTCATAAGGTGGCATTACTTTCTCCCGCACTTCATTCATTCATTATCCTGTTGTGCCATTATTTGTCACATAGAGCATGCAGTCTATTCCTCAATTCCATCCCATCCTGTGCAATCAGTTTAGTATAATGGATGGAATCCAATCCAGCAGCTTTAGCCTCTGTCATCAGTGTTCATCTTAGGGTTTCTTTAATGCATCCTATTCTGATGATTCTCTACTGGTTTCTTCTCAGAAGGTGTCCAGTGTAGCGCCATCTTCTCTGTCCTATAACTGTTGATACTTGTGGTTGCCCAGTGCTTTGTGCTGATTCATGTGGGTTGTAACACTGTAGGGGACAATGTGGTGTGAATTGTGTTTTCGGGAGTCCACAGGAAGAGACTTCTCTTATTCCTTCACTCCTTTTGAATTCATCCAATGTTATTTTCATCTTATTTCCTCAGATATTTGTTTGCAAATGTATTTAACTTTCAATTCATGTCTTTAGACCACACTATATACACACTGTAAAAGAGTATAGAGCACGTGTCTGCATCCTTCTATAATTATTGTGCATGAAGTAATATTTGAGTGCCACTCTGCGTGCTTACCAAAGTACACCATATTTACCACATTATATCTATATGTATGAAATTACTGAAGCAAAGTTTCAATTTTGAAATAATCTGCTTCCATTTATTTTCTTTTATGACAACATTTGCTACTTCTGTTCACTCAGCACACCAGTAAAAGTTGTTCCGCTGGCTGCACTTGGTTGCCAATGCCAGATGTAAATTATAGTTAGCACTATTGCTATGTATGCTCGCCTGCAGATTTAAAGGTCGTGTGTTCGGGTCCTGGCGGAGTTGGACTTTTTTCAAACATGATCTTTGCTCCCAGTTCACCACAGTCTTAAGTGCATACCAGGTACGCTGCTGGGAAGTAAAGGCCACCAGCGTGATGCCGACCTCATCACCCACTGAGTGCTGATTAGTGTATAAAATATATGTCTAGCCATGTGTGTCTAATATGCAAATATATGCAAATATACATGGACAAGTTTTCTTTTACTCTACCACTGCTATGTGAGCATTTAACTGTATTTTGTAATGTTAATAAATATTTAATCTTTTCCTGATAGACGTATGCTCTCTCTGTATGTTTACTTCCTTTACTCTGATGGTCTGAAGGCACTCCAGTTCTTTCCAGACAGAAGGTCCAACCCCAACTTCCCTATTGCAGTTCTTGTATGCCTTGTCAAACTGGTACTGACCCTTAATTCCTCTGAGTTTACTGGTGAGCATTTTGACCAGATCAGTGCGGTCACGATTGGCACCAAGATGAGTCCAGTTACGCGTGCTTCTTTATGACCACTTTGAAATTAAGGTTGGTTTAGCATACCCAGGCAAGTTTCTGAAGGTGTATAGGAAGTACATAGATGATGGCTGTGATATTATATAAATGTCCATTGGCGAGCTTTTGACCAATTCATCCTTTTTATCAGTTTCAATCTGGCTATCAGATTCACCTCACTAATCTCCAACAGTTCAGTAAACTTTCAAGACATGGTCAGCATCGATTTTGTGTGTTTGAAGACTAAAGCCTACTAAAAACCTACGGATTCTCACAGCTGTCCCCTCTATACGTCATCTCACCCACTGCCTTGTAAAAATTCTATTCCAGCTGTGCAGGTTGTATTCTGAGGATTCTGACTTCTTAGATAAATCATTTGAACTTCTTCACTTCTCCAGTCCCTTTTTCTATCTGGAACACATCCTACAAGAGGTTCTGAACAAAATATTAACCATCACCTGGAGAGGTGCTTTCCCCACCAAAAGCAGTTCCACCAGCGATGGACCCAAATTGATTTTAACTTTTCATCCTAACAATGTGGTTGCTTTCAAAGTATTCTTTCACCATTTGGACTTCCTCCACTCATCCGGAGACCAAGATGATCTTCAGTGAGAAGCCAAGATTAGTTTATATACGAGACCGCAACCTTGAAGACATATTGGTCATAAGTCAACTCCCACCGATCCACACAGCACTTCCTTTTAGGACTACAAAATGCTCCTGTACCATGTGAAGAACATGTCCATTTGTTTTCCAGACCTCATCAGTCAGTTTCCCCAATGGTTCTTTCCAAATTCGGGAACCATATACTTCGGAATCCTGAAACGTAATTTATGCCATAATCTGCAAAAGATACAACAAGGCATTCATTGGGGATACTGCCAGGAAGCTAGCTGGTTGGTTCCGGGAACATCTCTCTGATATTGAAAAAAAAACACTCAAACCAGTCCCTCTCCATTTCAACAGCTCTGACCACAGTGGCAAAGATTATATATATGTCATAGCATCAAAATCTTGCTCAGGCTATCCTACCATATGCCTCGCTTTACAAAATCGCTTCATCCACAGTCAAAGTGATTTAAGTCCAGGAGGCACCAATATCTCTTTGAGTCCCAAGGAACGCATCATACGTTCGTAGACTCCTACCTAGAAGCCCAATGAACGCAAGATGCGCCGATTTTACATCTCTTCTGACTACCCATTGGGCCTTATGTGCTAAACCCCCTGGGACTCAAAGAGAAATTCAGCAAACCTTCATCTAAACAGTTTTTCTGTTGTCACATGTTTTTTTTAATTGTATTTTTGTAATGCTTATTTTATTTTATTTCAAATTATCATTTGATTTTGTCTCTTATCAGTACAAGTTATGGATCATTAACACTTGTATTTCTACTGTTCTTTTATTCCTACTATTATTATATTACTTTTATGACAATTGTTTTTTTAGCCTTCCTTTATTTTAATTTATTTTATTTTATTGTATTCCTTCCACATCACCTTTTTTTTTTAATAGTTTTTTATGTGCCCCCTTGGTGGTTGGAGTACTCTCCCCTTTGTTCTTGTTGTGTAGTTCAGTTCATGTTGACAAAGGCCCTGGTGGAAACGTTGATTTGTGTTGTTGTGTTTGTTTGTGCACGTTGTTCTGCTTCCCCATTTCGTTAAGCTTTTTAGTCACAGTTCATTGGATGATTTCCTGAATATATATTTGCATGTATTTCTCACACTTGTAGGTTACCAGGCAGCGTTGCTGAATGCCACACACAACAATGCAGCTTTAATGAATGCATTTCATCCTACCACAGCAGCTATGCTGATGAATGCTGCTGTCCACAACACAGGTGTCCGCAGAGATGGGCTGGATTTTGTCCCCGTGGATCACCTGGCTCACATAACCCCACCGTATGTCCAGGATGTTCTCTATGATCCAAGTCATTTACCGTATTTTGGAGTTCATCCTTACGTGCCAAATTTCAGGCATCTGAGGTATGTATGTAGTGCTTTTTGTGTGTGTGTGTATATATCCTCTTATTTTTTTTATGTTTTCTTCCTCAAGCTACCTCTTCAGATGGGATTGATGTGATTCAAGAACCGACATTACAGCACTCAGGGCATTCCCAAAAGTGCTCCATCCTCATCTTCAGCAGCCAGCGAAGAGTTCCGATACTAATGGTGCCAGAAGCATTCTGATTAAACGTCGGTCTTGCGTTTCCTCTGAGCCTCGAGCATCTGCCAGAACCTCTCGCCACTTCCCCTGCATCAGTCTCACCAGACTGTGGTGATCCATCTGCTCCTCCAAACTGTACACGCTCTCCCACAAGGCAGATAGGAGCGTGGGTGGGAGGGGGATCTTTTGTGCGGTCTCTCTAATACAATGATCTTCATTTAGCTAATCCTACCGCCCCAAGAAGATTCAATCTAGTCACTTCAATTTGTACACAACATTTTGAATCGGTCATGTGCATATGTGCATTGACACCTGAGACAACAGATCATGTCCTCCAAGACTGTCCCAAATACAACATATCAAGGCAAATCTTTTGGCCAAGAGAAACATAAGTGCAAGTTTATGGGTCGCTGAGTGAATTACAAAAGACAGTGAAGTTCATACTAGAGACAATATTGCAGATATTAATGATGTATTTCAAGTGAACGAAAGAAGAAGAACTTCCATTTGTGACTCAGTCCCGTAAATGCCAAAAAATGACCATGCCTGCGGTGACTTGTTCTCGGAAAGTGTGGTTGAATTCTGTTGGACCTGTGCTTTGTTTAATAGGCCAGCATGTGAATTTAGTAACTAAAAATAGCATTAGGTGGTTTCCTTATGACCCCAATGGGTTTTTGAAAGCCAAGTTTAACGTTTGAATGGAGTTTCTGGGACTTGTACCCAGGTGATCCTCATCCGAATGGTGGCACTTGGTGGGGTTGAACAACACACAAAAGTCAAGTTGATTTCAAATTTTCCCAAAAGCCTCATTAATAGAGGTCATGTGGTCATGTAACGAGTGACCTGGCTTTTCCCCCCTTGTTTTACACCTTGGGGAATGTATTCCATTGAACTCTTTGGATACCAAAGATTGCAAGATGTGGTGATTTATAACTGATTTAACTGTCCTCTTGACCTGAAAGATTTAATGCTTCATTCTGTTCATAATTATTGATGATCCCTTCATATATTCTACAAAAATTTACCAGTGTTGATAATTACTTTTTTTTTTTAATTTTAATTTTTTATTTTATTAGTGACTAAATTGTGCGTTACTGGTACCATCCGAATTGGAACTCTTTGCTTGCCGCTAAAGATTGGGATGGAGTGCTTATGAAAGTGTCCAGAGTGGTGTGATGTTGATTCTAAATTCAACATTCAGCATTTTTATCTGAAAGCTGGATTTTTTTTTTTGGATTTTTTTTTTACTGACCTTAAATCCCAGGTTGACCCAGCCTTAAATAAGTAATAGGTAAAATCATGGGAAGTCAAGGCGGCCGGCTTGATGATGACCACATTACCCACCAAGTGCAGATTGGTCTGTGAAATATAGCCCTATATGTCTGATAGCGTGGAAAAGGTTTTTGCCTTTTACTTTACTATTTGTTTTACTGAAGTTTGCAAACATGTTTTGGTGTGTTTGCATACTCTTTGTATGTGTGTGCACATATGTGCATACTTAAGCATCATTTCTCATGATTTGTTGGTCATAACTGTCATTTTTTTCTATGGTTGACTATTTGTTGTAGAAGTGGACCATCTAATGAACTCCATGCAAAACTGGAAGAATGTTACGAACAATTCAAGGCAGTTGAAAAGGAACGAAAGAAGGTAATAATTAAATCACAAATCAGAAGATAAATTGTGTGTTTTTTAAAATATGTAATGTTAACATTGGATATGATTGCAAGGATGTAGTCTTTTAGTAATAATTAAGGGCCTTTTTCCATGCTCTTGACTTATTGGGCATCTTTTGCTTGCCACAGTTTTGATAGATGTCTGCACTCTACAGATAAGTTGATCATTATATTATAGGCTGCCTTTACTTTCTTAAACATTTTACTCATAGCCTGATCTACAATTTAGTCTGTACAGTGTTGCTTATATCAGCTTCATCCATGTTTCTGCCCATTTGTTTGACTGCTAGTTGGTTCACTCATTTGGAGGGTCTCCATAGTCAAGTGGTCGAGCCGTTTGCCTTGCACTGTGAATTTCATGGGTTCTTTAACAGCTGCATCGTTTGGTTAATCATTTTAACGGAGATCTCTGGGGATCGTCTGAGCTACAGAGTTCGTGCTTTGGGTGACACTCTTAGCAGTTGGTTAACCTATCTGCATTGAAAGACTGAGCCTCGTAGGATAAAACCTGGTGCAATGAAGTCAAATAAAGTTGGTTTACTCTTTCCTCACCTTTCACACTGGCATTCCCTGGTATATATCATCTTAGTCATAGAATGTGGAATTGGTATGCTCACACTATCAATATGAGTCAACTTATGAAATTTGAACACATATAGAATGAAGCCATGAGCGTGAGGAGATATCCCATTTAAACTATGCCTTAATTAGTCAGTTTTTAAGCTAGATCTATTCTCAGATATAGGTATATTTCCAGTGAAGTTCATACTAGAGACAACATGGCAGATACAGATAATCTATTTCAAGGGAACCAAAGAAGAGGAAGAAGAAGGCAATGTTCCAGTGAACCAGTGTTCCACCAATGCCTGCCCTGAATTTTATATTTTACAACTTTTCCTTTTTTATACTAGACGGAGGCAGAACTTGCAAGACAGAATCCAGGAAAGAAAGTTTCTAGTACTAACACCCTGCCAGTGCCAAGGTTACCAAATAGCCCATCTCGTGTTGACAGACTGATTGTGGATTCCTTCCGGGAACATGCCAGGGTATCATATTTGTTAGTTTTGTCTCATGTGAATGTCGACATCCGTGGCTCAGGTGTTGCAAAGGCTCTTTATAATACCAGGGTGCTGGGTTCAGTCCCAGCTGCGAACAATTTGTGTTTTGTGTTGGTTTCAAAGGTGGTACCCAGAGCTAACTGTTCAGAAAGCAATGGCAAACTATTGAAAGTAAAATTTGCCTAGAAAAACCATAACAGCCAAAAATTGCTGGGTTTGGTTCTGCAACATCCTGTAAAGGATACACAACTAACTTTTTTTTTTTTTTGTGAATAATGTGAATACATACCTCCCTCTCTGTTGTTCAGGCTGGTGGGGTGCCTTATGCACAAATCTTTGAGCAGTTGCTAGTTTTGGTTAACTGCTGCTTCCATTTAAAATGAATTGCAGTTCTTAAAATGGACTTTTAGTTTTGATACCACTGGCAGGCTGCCTTATGCATTTACTGCATTTGTGAAGTTATGCATTTCATGGGAACTGATCAGTTTCACTACTTTTCAGATGTGACAGTGATGAGCATTTTTTTTTTCCTATCACAGATTTCCCCTGTGAATTTGAAGGGCCTTAATTCGAGTGGGGGGGGAGGGGGTGTAGTATAGACCTCTGCCCCCCTAACAAGCCTGTTTTTGTCCGTATCTGGGAGGTCTGCCCGTTTTGTTTTTAATATTATTCCATGATATTCTTCTTTAAAAAAATAATATCTCTTCTATGAGTAAATGTTTGTTCAGCTTATTGTCCTTGTCTCATTTGGAAATATCAGCACAAGTTCTACACAGCACTTTAACACCTTTTTTTCATTGTCCTCGTCTCATTTGGAAATATCAGCACAAGTTCTACACAGCACTTTAACACCTTTTTTTTTCCTCTCTGCAACTGACATCTTCTTATTGATGACTGTCTTTTCCATCTTGCTAAAGGCACTTTTGAAATGGTGATTCTTGTTCTGATCACTGCAAGGCAGCATCTTGGATCAGATGTTATGCTTTACTTTAGCGCAGCGATAGGAAACTCCCTTTCAAATCCAGCTGAGACTTGCTGCAGCCCACGGTCGGTGTTCGAAACGGGGCGGTTCCCAGATTAACCCAGCCTCTAGGAAATGGGTACAAGAGTTAAAACTTTGGGGTAAATGGAGGAACGTCGCTGTAGCTACGGTGTAAAGTGTGGACGGCGACACAGGCGGACAGTTTCTTATTAGCTGTCTGTATTGGTGGCAGAGGACTTATGCTTTATAACCATGTGCAATGACGCTGGTTCACATCTCCCGACTTTACCATTTTTTACCTTTACCTTTAACAACAAAACAAAACAAAATCATTACGTTCACAAATGGACATTCTTTATTTCAACTAGATAATTTTTATTCTTTATCAGATCATAACCCTGATAGAGAAGATGGAAAAGTTGCGGTCACTCAAAATTCACCCGAATGTCCACTCCACGATGGAAGCCTGGTCTGAGAGTATCAAAAAAGTGCAGGCAAGTAGAAAGGATGAAGTGGTGAACTCAGCAAACAGGCAGCGGGCTGGAGTGCCTAGACAACCTGATGACAAAGGTTAGTACTGTGGCTGTTGTTAAGACCACGATTACTGATTCTTCTTTTTAAAGTGCATGCTGTGTGGCGTTGGTAGTCATGACAATCCACAGCCTTCTGGCTTGTGTACTTTCAGTCAACTCTGACACAGATGATCCTCCATGCCATGATGTCAGACTGTCCAGCATCTTTTCTCTCGATCTCCCTCTGCCTCTCCTCCCCTCCAACTTTCCTACTGTCACAATGTACTCCAGTTTTCCAGCCTGAGTCTGAAGAATCTCAGCGCAGTGCATGAACACTGTAGCACCGGCGAGGATCCTGATGTACTTTGGGTAGATTTTCAACTCCAGATTTTGCTCTGGCAGTGCTATTAGGCTACTTTTTTTTTTTATTTCCAACTGCCAAGGGATTTTTAACATGCACAGCAACACACACACAGGAGTCAGATCTTACTACGCAGAGATCAATGGAAATTACTAGAAGTCCGTCTGAAAGAAAATCCCAGCCTAAGCCCGGGACCTCCAGCACTCGAGGCGGATGCCATGCCTCAAAACCACTCAGCTCCCAATAACTGCTGCCTCCTAATTTTATGTAAAAACTGATTTAACCCTGAGATGAAGTTCTTCCTTTTCATAGTATCTTCCTCAGTTTGATCTAGGAAGTATTATATAGACCCTATGCTGCCCAGGCAGCGCGATCCTTCTCTCAACCTTTATTTTGTGCACTGTTATAGTTGTGTTAATTCGAACCAGATTACAACAGGTAACATTAGTACTGGAACTCTGCGCTGGCTGTTGAAGATAAGGACAGAGCACATATGGGAATGTCCAGAGTGCTGTGATGTCAATTTTTGACTCAAGTCAACAGTTGTGTTGATGTGTAACTCTTCCTAATTTACATCCGAGTCCTTGCAGAAATCACTTTGATCTAATTACTACTTTGGATGAAAGGTGGTCTTCATCACTCATGATGGAGGAACAACACAGCACATTGTTGTGTTGAATATTCATAATATTTTATTGTTGTTTCTTTCTTTACAGATTATGGCAGTCCACATTGTCTTGCAATAGTCATTGTTTTGAACCTTTTCTGTTCACTTGTAGATGTAGCAGCTCTAGCTGTGAGCATATCTGACCTCTCCATCCACACTCGCTTGGCCAGGACAGCTCAATGGGCTGCACTGCAAATGGCTGACAAAGGAAATCCAAAACTGGCTGAGATTTTAAAGACTGGTTTGGAGGAGTCTGTCGACCTCTCTCTCTACATAAACCCCACACCTCTTGAGGCAGTTGAGTCTCCGAGTTCACAGGCGACCAAGGAGGCAACTTTATCGGATGTTACTTCAGCCGAAGCAGATAAACCTAGAGGTAGCGAATTAAAGGAAGAGACAGATGTATCCAATACAACCTCGAAGGATCCTCCAGCAGTGGAATATGTCTGTAAGCAGAGTGTAGCTAAAGAATAGTTATGTAGGCAAATGATACACAGTGAATTAGTGCATGATTTGTGGCATTTAGATAACTCTTTAGGCCCTTTTAGTTATTACTTAAAGCAGTGTGAAGAGTCTGGGACAGACACAGTTATAGCTGTCTGGAAAAGAAAGAGTTAATGTATTAAGTGGTTTCATGAAATTGCTAGAAAAATATAAGTACTGCGTAAGAAGCAATGTTCCTACTAGACAGTGTGTTATGGACAAAAACTACATTTTATGAGAGTGTATGTGATAGTACGTTCTAGTCCAGCTTTAAGGAAACATTGTGTAAGGGGAATTGAGCAGATGTTGATGAGATATAATGGCTTACAGTGTTATAATGTTCATGACAAGTAATTCAGTTTAAAGACTGGTGGGAAGTTGTTGTAACTCCACCCGCCATTCAACTGTACGACTGCCATATCCTTGGGAACTTTAATATTGCTGTGTGATCAGTCATTGTGGGTCTAGAGGTTTTAGTTTGTATGTTGCTAACACTAACTTATTGTGAGACTTCAAGAAGCTTCCATGTATTTAAAAAGATTGTGTTGTATTCTGTTCATGTCTGTCTCCATTCTTTCTTTCACTGGCAGCTGTTGCTTTCAGATTCCAGCTGTTAAGTTTAACAGATACCGTCTGTTACCAGAGCTGTAAGGGAAAGCATAGAATAGTTTGAAACTTGCCATACATGAGGTGACTAACTTTTGGTCCCAGGAAGACTTCACAAGAAGTAACCCAAAGGGAATAGTACCTATAATAAATCAGCATCACCACACTACTTTCAAACTGCCAACATATGATGTACTGCATTTAAATATCTGGCCAGGTGTCTTTAGTATCCTGAGACTAAATACAACAGATATAATTACACGTTGTGGCTTGTTTGATACACACAACCAGCAGATGGATATGCATGCTGAGTTTCTGGGGAAGAAGGAGTTAAGAAGGGCTGGCTTGGTTAGTTCCTTTTATCCAGCACTGTAATCTCAAATACTGACATCCAGTGAATCTTAGAGCTACTCTACATGTGGGAATGAAACAGTTAGTTCCTTTTATCCAGCACTGTAATCTCAAATACTGACATCCAGTGAATCTTAGAGCTACTCTACATGTGGGAATGAAACAGTTAGTTCCTTTTATCCAGCACTGTAATCTCAAATACTGACATCCAGTGAATCTTAGAGCTATTGTACATGTGGGAATGAAACAGTTAGTTCCTTTTATCCAGCACTGTAATCTCAAATACTGACATCCAGTGAATCTTAGAGCTACTCTACATGTGGGAATGAAACAGTTAGTTCCTTTTATCCAGCACTGTAATCTCAAATACTGACATCCAGTGAATCTTAGAGCTATTGTACATGTGGGAATGAAACAGAAGCAGACGCTAAAACCCTAAAAACCCTGTTCCTTTGTAAAACCAAACAAGTTATGCTGGGGCATCCAATGATTAAGAAACAATCTGCTGTCCATTGTAGTTAGGTGATTAATGGTGAGACCATCGCATAATTAGTCAGTTTACTGTTTGTACTGGTAGCTTACAGTGATATTAATAACTAGGTGGGTTTATGTAATATCCAGCAAATACAAGTGTTAAAGTAATAACTAAGTATGTTAATCTTGTGCTCCCAGGAACACTTGTGTTACATTATTGTATTCTTTTTTTCTTGTATTGCCTCTGAATAGGCCAGAAATTTCTTCCGCAAACAAATGTATAAACTTTGAAGTCAAAAATGGATATTTATATTCACACAATATGCACACTGTGCTAATGACAGGACACTGATTCTATATTTGTACTTATACTCTCATGCCTATTGCAGGACAGTGGTTTCCAGTTAAGAACCCCCCCCCCCCCCCCCCATCCCTCCGTTTATTTTTTTCTACCACAGACCCCATACTTTTTTAAAAGTCATTCTGAATAATTTATTAGAATTTATAAATAATAAAATCGCAACAGTAACAAAAATGATTGCATTCTAAAGTTGAGGGTTTATCTTTTTGTATATATTATCACAGACTCCTTAAATTTGTCCCGCCGACTTCCAGGGGTCCGCGAACTATCGATCGGGAAACACTTTTAAGAAATAATAGAGGCTAGTTGGCCTGAGGTTGGTTACCTTCCTGATCCAGTATAGTGCCAAATCTAGCCAGGCTTGGAAACATCTACAAAAGCGATTGGTATCAGCTGATTGAGGGCTTGAATTTTATTAGGAACTCAAAGGCTGAAGAAGAAGTGTAATTGTAATGTATTTTTATCAGTGAAAATTGCCCTGTGATGTTGTATTTGCAGAACAAGTAGATCCTAAAGTGTTGAACCTAGGAGTGACTGTAGTTGCGGTGATATCTAGAAATGAATTTCTTAAACATAAATTATGCCTAGCAAGGGAAGCTGGGGGATTACAATTGAAGTAAAAAATCAAGTCAAATTGAATATATTGACCAGAGTCTTTATCGTAACATAAATCAGCAAGAAGATGAAATCTAAGCCACAACTTGGTGGGGGGAGGGGGTGTGTTGGCGTGGAATTAGCTTTATGTTAGCGAATGCACTATCTGTAGTCTACAGAAGATACTAGACCATAATTTTATTTCTGTTCTTTACAAGACCTCACACACAGTTCTTATACAGAGGGAATCTCAAACAGTTAAATTCCTAAAAGATCTGCTCTGTCTCCCAGCCTTGCTGGTTAAAGGAGAGAATTCGGGGTTTGCCACATCTGATTCCCTCCTGTTCTGTAAATGGTATACTTATGTATGTAGTTAAATTCTAGTAGCTATTATTAACTTACATATGCTGTTAAAATAAACTTCAAAAGTCTGGAAGAACATTACCCAGTACGACATTTAATTTGAAAAAATCAAATCGTAGGACTGGGGAGAGAATACTTGTTCCAGATTGAGATTGGACTGATATGTCAAACTCATCCGTAGTTGGTCCTCCTTGGGTCAGCTTCTGGCTCATCCTCGGAGACACTTTAGGCAGGTCGAATCTTCTAGTCCAGTCCAGGCAATCTGACACCTGCAGCTACACTGGAACTTCACCTGGAACTAGAGTAATTGAACAGTGCCTGTAGAAGCATTTGGGAAAGTTCTGACCGAAGGCCACACTGTCTTCAGTCCTCATATACTGTTACACTACACACACATATAGAGTGTGGATGGTAACATGTTTTCACATTCTTGAGTGGGGTATAGAATGTTATTTACTGAAACAGAATCTAAACTCCTGATGGAAGGAATATTCTATCCACATCAGTTTCTCAAAGATATTATTTCCAAGCCCAAGGTTCAACATCACTGAGAGAGAAAACGAATAGGAATTATAAATATCTCAATAAGTATAAATGGGTGCTAGGATAGATGTTATAACATAATCATAGATGAGAATGGGTTTCCCATCTATCACATTATTAACGTAAAATATTCAACACTAACTCCAGTTTAACCCTACCAGACCTGAGGCCCTTAACCTCTGTCCCTATAACCTGAGCTCCTGGGCACTAACACGAAAAAACCAACATGATGTACAAACAAAATTAGTTACATGCAAACAAGTGGTTAGAATAAGATAAAACTTGGAGACATTGTAGATAAATAGGTTAACCTTTCATTTAGCGCCAATCGTCTCCCTTTGTGTGCTAATCCACCTAGTAGGATCAGTCTTGTTTCATAAAGTGAGCACTAGATGTTGCTGTTTGAGGGACACGCCCCCTTCTCTTACTATCAATCTAGTTTTAAATCTATAATTTTCATAATTCTCCTCCTCACTCTAGCTCTCACTGGCTGTGTCATTTCAACTGGGAACGTATTCTTCATGAACGTATTCACAGTCTGAATTAACCAAAGTATCGATCACCTGTTGGACTGTGAAAAGCCTAGACCTACGTCACTTTCTTGTCGAAGCCGCTCGTTTCATTGAAAATTTTCAGATTTTTTTCACATCAAACCACACAAAGAAATCTCAACACACGTGGAAAATCATTTGCAATGACTAACAACGAAGTCTGATGGCGATTGGCTGGTTATTTTTAGTCTGTGACGCAAATTTTTTGTACTACGTAAATTCCCGGAAAATGGGGCCAGCGGTATAGCGGCTGGTTAGGAAATTCCCAGAAAATCGGGCCAGCGGTCTGGTAGGGTTAACTTTGAATGAATACATGTGCTAAATCTTATTCAGGAGAGTTAAGAAGTTCGCAAGGATGAAATACAGTTATTACAATTATAGGGCCACACACAGTGGTACTGAAAATATATTCCTAGTAATAGGAAATTAAATATAACAATAATTTTTTCAAGCATAGGTGATACACCTCCCATCTTCTTCTCCTACTGTGTGAATCAAATAAATGTAGCCACCATGTGGTATTCCCTTTTCGAGCTTTCACACTTGTCTCTGAATTCTCTGGACTAAATCTAAAATCACCATGAGGTTAAACAAACCTAGTAAGGTTTGAGTATAGTGAATATACACTTGTCTCCTTCATTAACTCTTTGAGTCCCAGAGGGTTTAGCATCACAGGCCCAAGGGGTAGTCAAAAGAGACTAAAATTGGCGTATCATGCGTTCATTGGGCTTCTAGGCAGTAACCTATGAACGTATGATGCGTTCCTTGGGACTCAAAGAGTTAATCAAATCTCACTATGCTGGAAATCAGGACTGGTCGAGATTTCACATGGGGACATCAATTGTCACTTATTAAATATAATAATAACAATCAAATATACCAATTCACGTTTCTAGTAGCAAGTAAAAATTATATTAATCATCAAATATATAACATGTTTATGTACTTGTATATACTAGAGCATAAAAATAGTTAGTAAGGACCAAAAAATGTATCAAGGTTTTTCCGGTATGTGGTCAGCACATTTATAAAGTCTGCAGATAAAATGAATTCAGAGGATTGGCAGATCAAAGGTAGAAATAGAATGAAAATTATGTCTGTTTTACTATTTTTCTTTTGGAATGGCATGCATTCCTTGTGGCCTGAAA